TCCAGATCAGGGTAAATTGTTCTCATTAAATGGACTGCTACCACCCTAAGGACTTGAAAAAGACTCCTGAGGCTGAAAGGTAGGGATTTGCTTGGTATCACAAAGCAGAGAGATTTTCTATGAGACACTATAGTAGCAATGTGAAAATAAGCATCCTGAAAGATGAGAGATGCAAACCAGCCCCTTAGTTGTAAGGATGGAATAATGGAATAATGATGGATAAGGTAACCATTTTGAACTTGAATTTGAACTTGAACTTGAGGGTGTAGGAGTTTGTCACTTTTCAGGAACTGAAAAGAAAAGTGACTTAAACTCTTATGCCTTCAAGTTCAAGTTCAAAATGGCTACATTATTCATCATTATTCCATTATTCCATCCTTAGAAACTGATGTAAAATGTCCTTCTTCTGTATTGCAAAAGAATTTCTCCCATGGACTCTAATGCTAGAAGAGAAGAACCTGTTGAAGTAAAATGTTGTTAGAAATGTCACTATACAGAGTTGAGTATGAGGTATTTGGAGCAGGCCCAAACATTCTGCTTTGCTCCACTTAGTCCCCCTCCTGAAATAAAAAAAAATATGTCATGGGCGGTTGATTAGCATTGCTGAATAATGGTGTTAGTTAGCCCTTCCCCATGCTACCCATTCAAACATGGCTACTCTGCTTCTAGTTTGTAAGATCTGTGTAAAGAACCACAATATGTATGAGGGCATTAGGGTTGGGCATAGTAAACTTGCAGTCTAGGCATGGCCTTTTTTGATGTGGACATCTGTCTATTCAAAACAGCTGAAGAGGTTGCCAAAGAAAAGGAAGGGAAGGGTAGAACTTTAGAGAGGAGAATTAATCTCTTGATTGCACCATTAAAGGTTTTGTCTATTTCCTAAAGAGTGGTAAATTGATGGGGCTGCAGTATAATGGTGCCTGCACTTGTGAAAGCACTGTCACTTTGTCAAATGCTGAGACAGACGACTGCTGAGGTGGTCTCTGTTAAGGAATCAGGCAGCAAGTTAAAACTGAAAGAATGCACTGGGGGGGTGGGAAGGTACTGAGGCATATTGTATCTTGATGCAGTAGTTGGCACTAGTGCTGAAGTTGTTGGTGTGGAGAAGTCAGTGCCAAAGTGTCAGATCCAGGACTAGGTGGCAAATGAGAAGCTGAGGTTTCCCTGGGGTACTTATCCTTGTGCTTCCTTGGCACCACAGAGCTGGGCTCTCTGGAATGAATGTTGGTACCAAGGCCTCAGTACTGGCACACTGCTAAGCTGTGTCAAAATCCATTCAAGACCACAACGTTTAGAAGTACAATGAACAAGGAGATGTTGAACAGGCACTCACTGAGGCACACCAGGATGGAAATCTCCAACTGTGGCAATCCCTAGTTGTGCGGTCGCTGAAGGAGTTCTCTGGTATCAACAAAGAACAGTCTTGGCAAGAGAGAACTTATTTGTGTGCTTAGGCTCAGCCAAGACTTATGCTTTGGGGTTCAAGGCTGACCCTATATATTTACCCAGAGGGTAAACATGAAGTCTGGCCTTGCATCACTATCTGACCCAGGAATTTAACAACTTACAAACAGCACACATTGTGGGGATATGAAACAGTAGATACACTTGGCATCCATGGAAAACACAACTCTATTACAGGAGGGATAAAGCTTGAATCCAGGTGACTTGGCAGAAACCATGTTAATGGTTGAAGAAGAGACCTGGCTGAAGTGAAGTGAAATAAGAAGGTTCAACTTATCTATATGAGTCATATGCACAAACCAGGAGAACCTCAGGACTCACTAAATATATAGTGACAAAGACTGGGGAAAAGATGGGGGAAAAAGAGAGACAAATTAATTGAAGAAGCACATAAACAAGAACAAGACAAAAGGGTGAAGAAAACAGGCTTCTGAGTTGCTGAAGGCCTTAAGAGGGGTGGGTTCGGACTGCAGAAGTGTATCTATGCAGCTGATGGGAACTGAGGAAAAGGATCATACTAGGGACAAACAGGGCAGTTGTGCAGTACTGCTGGTGCCAAAAACTGTCTGAAGTTAGGGTTCTGATGTGCATGCACACAGTGGAATGTGTGTTCAAAGGAAAACACATTGTTACTTGGTTATATTGAGTGCAGTATCAAAGGTTTCATTAAAATTATTTTAAGTTAAAGCAACTCATAAATAATATAACAACTCTATAAATAACATCCTGTAATAAAAAAAAATGATAAATTAAATTCCAGCATGCTGCAGCCTATATTTGTTACTGATTCCACCAACAGTTGCTTAGTTTATATTTTAATTTCTAAAAGCTTATAAATCACTCTTGTCCTGGTGGTACCCTTTCCTATATCATACACAGCACCTAACATGACATTACCATATACCTTACAAACCTTCTCACAGCTAGACGCATTCCGCTCAAGAAAAGAAACATATTCTTAGAAGGGAGCTTCCCAGATATATCCTGATTTCCCAAATGTTTAGAGACTACAGAGTTACATGATATATATGTGGTATAGTAAAGCAGCATCCAGGCTACTCTGTAATTGTTCCCAAGAAGCAAAACATCATAATCAACAACCTTGAGCTGCCTCTTTGAAATCTACAGTCATCGTTGTATAAGTGATTTAAAGCTGCAGGTAATGGTGCAGTCTCATTGTACAAAGCACTAAAGGAGGGTGACCATACTGGCAAACTCAAGGTCAAATCTAGCGCTCATTCCCACTGACCTCAATGGGTGGCTAAATCATGCCTTAGAAAACTCTCAACAATACCTGAAAAGTGTATTTGCTATTATGAATCAAGTTAATTTATCAAACATTTTATTTTTATCCCTATTAACTGATAAAGTTATACTGTAAAACCAAAACAAAAAGGAGAAATACAAATTGATATGGGTCCAATCTTTAATGTTGCAGACTGCCCTGGTGATTGGCATAAAAATCTGAATAAAACAGAAACCACGCCTCCCATTAAACTTAAACTAAGAGCCACCCATTGCTCAACACCTGGCAAGATTAAGCCATATATAAAAGATTGATATTCCCGTTCCATCATTTTACGTTCAGAGCCACAAAGGGATAGTCTTTAGAAAAAAAGAACTAACCCAAATTAGCCCCACTGTTCCCTGTGTGCACTACACTGGAACTGAAAACTTCAATATCATTGCAGTTGTTCTCTATTGTAGAAAAATCAGCAAAAATGCAAAGGAGGAGCAGCAGAAACTATGGCAGTTTCTTAGTAAGAAGCAGCAGAGGGGAGCATTGTTGCTTTATTGAGGAAAATGAGCAGCTAAAACCACAGCCAAACAACACAAAAACACTGGCTGGTGATTGATGGATATGCTGCTGCAAAGCTGTGGTAGGAACTTTAACCGACGGTCATCAAAATTGCTGATAATCTAATTTCTTTTAAAGCAGGTCTTTTCTAGTTTACTTCAAGTTCAACATAAATAAGAATTTAAAGTATTTCACAAGTTTATTTCCAATTTCTGATTTTACCCAGAAGTATTTTTCTAGTTACTCTTGGATCACATACATTTCCCACTGTCTCTCACTGGATTTCTCATAAAATTCTTTGGAAATTTTGATTCACAGTCCATCCGGTATATGTTAAAGCTAATTATTCAGAGTCTTGTGAGATCCTATTCTAGTCTTAATCTAATTAAACACCAGTTAGTGCAGTGGTCTCTGGTTCATTTTGATATGAAATACAGGGCCAGAATTTCTAGGTTCCAGTCAAAGAAGTCCCAGTTTAGGTCATCTGTAGTCCTAGACTCAACCCAAGAGCCTCTTTCCTGGCCCTGTTCAGACACATCAGGCCTATCCCAACATAGACTGGTTGGGCAGTAAACAAGACCCATTAATGAGCTAACTTCAAGGATGGAGAGGACCTGCTACTCTTTCTTCTTTGCTCAGGCTAAGCTTCTATTTCTCTGTAACCATTGTCCTGCATATGCAGACGGGTTGTTCTCTGTTGGCTGTACATATCAGAATTAACATTCAGGATAAATGGGGCATTTCATTATTTCAGGCTGTCTTCAGACTCATGCAAAATCACCCCACTACTTAACAAGGTTTTTGTCACAGTCATAAGGACTAGGAACTTCCTTTTTTATAAATCAAAGCTAAAATTGGAAGTAATGATGAGTCTTAAACAGCTTCACCTTAGCCTGTCATCCTTCCAAGGTGTTTCAGACACACATTCTGTTTTATGTAAAACTGATCAATTGAATCCCATTTTAATTTAAACTTGCTGTAGCTGAGGAAAACCAGAAGTGTGGAAGAGGTTCTAAGTTACCGTCCTGCTTCCTTAATCCTAGGCAAACTGGAATAATTCAGAGCAAGCTAAAGACTGTTTTTATTTGTGTTGTCTGCAGTTGTTCCACAGGGGACCACTGTGTTTGGTTAGGATCAGGAAAAGCGGCAGGGTCTTTAACTGATCTTCCATTGTGGCATGCCCTCTCCACACATCATATGTGGAGGAAGATGCAGGTGATCTAGAATTGGCTACATTATGGCTATGGGCAGATGAAACAATTATACTGATTTAAAGGGGAAGGAAGGCATTCCACTCATGAGCATGCATCAGCTCATGTAACTGTTTAGTTAGTTTAGCTCCTATCCTGTAGTAAGTGAAACCAAGCCAGAGATGCTCACCCCAGAATGAAACAGCTGCTAAATTACCACACGTCCACTTACTGCAGAAAAACATGGTCACATGAAATAGTTACAACAAATTAGCACAATATAAGGTAAGTCTCTGTTCCCCTACCAGGTGAATCAGCAGAAGTCCATTACTTACATGGGAATTCTTTTCTGTTGTGGGATTCTTCAATCTCTACTAAGACAGCACAAAGCAGATTTCATTTACAATATAATCCATGTGCAAATAAAATTAAATCTCTTTTCACAACGGAAAGTTTCATAGCATTTTTTTGTTTGTTTTTTTAATATAAAGGAGACAGACAGAGATGCAACAAACAGTATGGGTATAGGAAAGAATGAAAGGACTTACTGTGCTCCATTCTGTATTGAACCATTTAGCACCACAGGGCTTGAGATAGCAGGATTGCTGGCTGGCAGGTCTTTCCAAAAATGAACACTCATAGGGGTTTAACACATCGAAACTACCTTCAGTTTTCCTAACACAGATAACTTCTCTCTGTTGGGTTCCACTGCCACATTCAATTGAACACTGTATCAGGGAACAAAGAGTGGTGGTGGTCATATAGTTTCTCTATGTATTTTTGATATTCTAGTCATGTATTCTAGCTATTCTCACAATTGTATGGGTATTTTATGCAGTGCCTTGAGCCCATGAGATGTACACCATTTTGAAAATATTAATCTTCTGACAGAAGAAATGTAAATTCTTGCTAATGCCCTAAATATGTGCATATATATCCGGACTCCTTCATTCAAGTCTTCTCCTTCCCCTTGCCTTTCTCCATGTACATTCTTCTTCCTTTCCTCCATTTGAATTTAAGCAGATCTCTCCTTTAATTTCCTATGCTGAAAACCATATCCTTAATCTGTTGTCTACTCTTTCCATTTTCTGCATGCAATTCAATTTTACTTTACCCTGGAAATGTATTGGTTGATGAGGGGACTTGAAATTTACTACTGCTCCATAAAGTACAGGTCTTGATCTGGCAATGTACCTAACTTCAGGTACTTGGGTAATCTCATTACAGTTAGTATTAAAAGGCTAAATCAAAACTGACTTTATAAGAATTCCCACTTGGGCATTGCAATGGCTAAAATTTAGGCATCTTGCCTCAGGCAAGTGATCCAAACTGACAAATTAGGTACCTAGGATCTCTGTATGATACATGAGGAGACCTAGGTGCCTCCCACATTTAGGCATCCAATCCAGGGCTATACATGAAATAACTTCCATCAGTCTCAAGATCCAGTCTAATCCAGAGGCAAGACACTGACCTAACAGATGGCAGTGTTGATTTTAGTGTAAACCACTGGACCCCCTCTTCACTACTGAATACAAGAAATGTTATTGGTGGTGATGCCTATCTTTTGCCCAACCACCAAGTGGTAAGGGCACTAACCCAGGAAGTAGGATTCCTGGCCTCCAGGACCTCCCACCATGAAGAGACTCAACCCCACATCTTCTTGCTATGAGAAAATCCTAGCCACCAGGCTATAGGCTAGGTTGGATGAGGTTCCCTTCGACCCCTCCTGTTGAAGCAGGGCTCTTGAACAGCCAAGAGCACAAGATGCACAGTACCAGAAAGCAGTGGCGACACATAAAGGGTGCATGTCCACCCTCTGAAAGCACTGGTGTACCCCCTGAGAGCAGCATTCCCTGCTTAGGTGATGGGCAGGGGAGCAGGCGAGAGTGCCGGCACCCCTCCTGAGAGTTCCCACTAGGGAGTGGGGGCACCAGGAGAAGTGATCCCAGCAGTCTCCCCATGGCTGATTGTGCCGACCCAGGCGGGGAGGGGGAGGAAAGGTTCTCCGTGGCCAATTGCCACAGGACCAGAACAGCCAGCAGTGTGCCACTGGCACTTCTGCATCAGCATGACTGGCCACAGGGGGACTCCCCCCCCTCCTGGTTGCTGACTGGCTGCTGGGGGAACAAGTGCCCACACCTGACTCAGAAGGAACCAGTTGCCCATGCCAGAGAGAGAGCAAATGGGGAAGAGTAACTCCAGTCTCAGACTCTTCCTCAGAGCACGGAGTCCTATGTATGCATTTTACATTAGACAGTCATTTGTTAAAAACCTGAAATAATTCTGGCATAAGAGATTGGAACCTGGGACTTCTTCTCCCAAGAGAATACTCTCCTCACTGGATGTGATGAATCATTGCTCCAGGTGAGGATGAGTCATCCTCTGGCAGCTAGCCATCAGATTTATGATTGCAAAAAGCTGACCTTGCCCCAAATATAGCTTTAATCCAGCAGGAGTCTACAAACTCACCAGAAGACTTGTCAAGCACACCGTTTAGCAGGGCATACTCTGATACTATAGTTTTAAGGCTGTTTGGGGTAGGATTGGCTTACTGGAAGGAGTGCAGTCAATGACTGGCTGCCAGAGGAATGCCTCATCCTCAGCTGGAAGAGTGACTCATTACCCTGGGCTACAGAGTTATACTGGCTCTTTATTGCTCCTCTTCAGATCTCATCAACCTTGCAATTTTTGCCATTCATTGGCCCAGCTTCAACAGGAAGGGTGGAAGGGAACTTCACCCAGCCTAACCAATAAGCTTCTGGTTAGGTCAGTCTCTTAAAAAAATGGAGATCTGAACCTAGGTACCTAGAGATATTTTTTGGCCATAATGGAAGCACTTAATGGATCTGGTTACCTAAGTATTCTGCAGCTGCTGGAGTAAGAGTAATCAGGTTCACTTTTTGTGATTTATGTGCTTAACTTCCACTTAATTTTTGTTCGGATGACTACAAGGTTGATTTGGATCTGGCTCTAAATGCTTTGTTGAATCAAGGCCATGTAGTCTTCTCTGATATTTTTCTTTTGCTGGCTGGGCCATAACAGGCTAAGCACTGAGCAAGAACTTGCATGGTCTCGGCTTACAAATTCCATCCTTTTAATTGCTTCTTATGGGTATCCAGTAAGCCAGAGATGTCAAATAGGGCTGTGTGAAGTTTCGGTCCCCGATTTGATTTGGCACAGATTCGGCCCGATTATGTGGCTAAATCTCAGATTCGGCCCGATTATGTGGCTGAATCTCCAAATCCGAATTGAATCAAAGGACCCTTTAATCTCGCTGAATCGAATCAGAGCCCTCCGAATTGGTTTGGAGAGATTTGGAAAGATTTGGTGATTCGGTCATAGACACAGCTTTAACTATTTTTTCTACATGCCCCTAAGTAGCAGGCGGCTTGTGAATGCTGCAATGCTGGGGCACATGGAGTGTCCCACAGAAGCGGGGGACGGGGGGGACGGGGGGGGACTCCCCATCACGATTGGCAGCAGACCTCGAAGTGGACCAAAAGCACTTCCGGTCCACTTCTGGGTCTGCCGAGGACAATGCGGCCCCCCACCTCGCGCCCCCCCCCAGCTCAGTAGCTGGTGCCGCCTGGGTCTGGGGGGGCACCTGGCGCCGCCTGGGTCTGGGGGGGCACCTGGCATCCCCCTGTGGCCAATCACTGAGCCAGGGGGCATGGGGGAGGGGCCCAGTGTGTTTCCCAGGGGACTCGGAAGTGGGCCAGAAGTACTTCCAGTCCACTCCTGGGTTCGCCACTAAGGATGTGGGGGCCCCCCCCATGCTCCATCTGCCCCAGTACGACAGCATTCATGACCTGCACCTGGTACCTTGAGGTATGTAGAAAAAACATTTAATGCTGTCCGAATCACTGATTCTCTGAATCAGCATCAAATCTTCAGATTCGGATTTGTCTGAATCGAATTGGGGACAGTGATCCGGATCAACGCATTGAATCACTGTCCCCGATTCGGGGCAAATAATCCAAATCGAATAGGGCCCATTTCGCACACTCCTAGTGTCAAATTAATCTGGCCCAGCTGCCATGTGTTGTCCCTGCTCTGGGAATCACAATGCACATGGTGCCTGCTCCAGCTGGTCAAGGACCAAGGGTGGGCACCTTGTATAACCTGCTTTGGTCAATCTGGGATCTGTACTATATGCTCCCAATTAGACTACACTGCTTGCAGCACCCATTACAGCCACTCTGGGATCCCAGCCACATCAGTGCAGGTCCCAGACCAGCTGGAGTAGCTGCCAAATCTGGTATGCTGGGGGAAGAAGTGGGAGAAGAGTGATCTGCAGACCTGACCCTACCCGCAGCCTTGCGCTGTGCCATGCCATGCCCTGTATGAATTTACTCAGGCCCAGAGGTAGCACTGGGGGCCAGATAGCAAGATCCAGTCTCTCAGGCCATATGTTTGACATCCCTGAAGTAAACAATTATCATAAAAAAATCAACAGGAATGGCCCCTAACAACAGCCTCCAAAAAACAGTTAATTTTGTTATCTTAAAAAAAGAAACATACTTATAGTTGTTATACTATAGTACCCCAAACTCTACTTTTAGATATAGAAATCAGTAATTACTTATATCAAAACTACAGATTTTTGGCATACTACAGTGACTTTGGTGCGATTAATTTAACTGATGCCTACAGGAGAAGAAAGAAATGAAGTACTTTTTGAAAGACCAGACTTTTTAATTGACACACAAGCTATAAATTGCTATGAAACAATCATAATTTCTTTAAAATCCATCAAGTTAAAAGTATATTCTTTTCCTTACTGGGGTGTGCTATAATAATACAAATCTGATTTCTGGTATTCAAAATTAGACCTAGGATAACATTTTCCAAATTGCCTATGTCACTTAGAGGTCTAAGGCCCAATGACTAACTGAGACTTATGGCTCATCTCCACTCAGTTTCTGTACTGCTTTAGTGCTAGGAGGATTAGGGGAAACTAATAAAATATGCTTCCCCAAAAAGTTTTTTAAAAGGCACATCAATTGAGATGTGTTCTACTTGGAAAAATTTATATTTTCTGTAGACAGTCAGCTCTGTTGAAAGTCCTAACATATGTGAACGTTCCCAAAATTAAACCCACAAAAGATACCCTGACTAAAGTTATGAAAACACAATTTTAATACCATTTTTCAAAATGTGGTAAAAGTAACAAAACTAGAAAAGCAGCTCTGTTGAAAGTTCTAATGTATGTGAAAGTTCCCAAAACTAAACCCAAAAAGGATACTCTGACTAAAGTTATGAAAATATTATTTTAATACCATTTTTCACAATATGGTAAATGCAACAAAAGCAGAAACAGAGGTTTACTTATGTCTACATTTCACAGCTATTTGATTTCTGTATTTGGTCTCTCCATATTACATTTATAAGGGCAGGTGGTCCCACTTTTCCTGAAACTGTTGCAGAAATTATATTTTACCATAAGGGTAAATTGATTTTCTTTATAAAACAACATTTTCAGGAAACCTAGGCTTATGTTTTGAGGCAATATACTTTTACTAAGCTAAAATATCAAACCATGATATTAAAATGGAAAAAGTAGAAGTCTTTTTACTCCAAAAAACTGTGTTGATATATCTGAACATGACTGGTAACATTAAAGTGCAAAATGTGAAACTGGACAAGTTGAAACATGCCAGCACCAGACACAGATTTCTATGACAGTCTGTACAAAGGAAAACTGAGGATTACTGCTGCAAATCCT